GGCCGTGGGCGGTGCCCTGCGCCTCGCTCAGCTGGGCCGGGACCCGCGGCTCCAGCTTCTGGAAACCCCCTTTCCGAGGGGAGGCAGGCTTCGGCCTCTTTCCTAAATCCAGTCGGGAAGTCCTCTTCAAGAGGTTAGATCCGGGAGGGAAACTGAACTGAATTGTGGCTGACTTGGCTGTTGAAAATCTAGGCAGGTCGAAGCTCTTCCATCAAGGTGGAGAAAAACACCCATCTCGAACACTATATCCTCGCCATCCTCGAAGTACACAGAAGTGGGATGGCGGGAAAGGCGTGCTGTAGGAGCCAGTCACACTTAGCGTATTACTAGCCTTTTTACAGAAATGTTTACCGCTTGGAACCTTTCTCGGCTCCTTCCAAATCACTTTTCAAATATTATGGTCCTAATTTATAAAAGCGAGGTGTCCAAAGGCGTGTCCAGTACCGGCATGTTTTCCCTGAGAGATCTGAAGGGAATACTTTTAGACTTTGATCATTCATTCATGCCTCCAGTGAGGAACTGTGCAATTCTTACTGTGCGCAAAACACCAATCTAAGAACTAGGGTTTCAGAGATGAGAGACTTGCTCTAATGTTGTTGTACGATCTAATGTTGTATAAATATATCTAATTATGAATAAATAATTCCAGGCAGTGCAATAATGCTATATGAGAGAATCTGTCTTATAACCAAATGCAGAGCTTTGGGAGACCTGGGGAGGGAAAATTAGCCTGCATAAGGGGCCCGGGGAATAAGGATTCCCCAGAGTGGTAACTGAACAAGGTTTAAGTGGATTTGTTTTGTGGTGCTGGAGATCAAACCCAAGACCTGGCGAATGCTAGGTGAGTGGTTCTACACTGACCACACACCTAAATACAGAAGATGAATACTTCTTTGGGGAGGAAAAGGAATACAATCCAGGGGAAAGAACCATTTGTTTTACTCTAAGGAACAACAAATACCGTTACAGATATCTTCCACCCAAATACCAGACCTGAGAGAAGGTGAAAAATTATTTTTAAATTGTGTGTATATATCAACTGCTAGAGTGTGGGCATTTTTAACTGCAAATCTTTTAAAGTTTTAATTTTAGCGTGTCTTTTTATTTTATACCAAGAGTAGAATGTAAGGGGAAAATTCCAACCATTTTTGAGTTTTTCCTTCATACTAGTCAGTTTATACTGCTGCCCTCAGGGCTGCCCTCATTGCTTGTGGAGGTGTCTTACCTAAGAGCAGACAGTGAAGAACCAGAATGTTTAGAGCACAGGCTGGGAAGGAAGGTCGGGCCCAGCTGGGAGAGGCCTCCTGGGCCATGCTGAGCTCTTGGCCAGAGTTCTGCAGACAGCAGGGAGCCTTTTAAGTGGAGAAGTGTCATGGTCAGATTTGTGTTGTATAAAGATAACTGTTGGCAGTGTGAAAGGATGGGTTGGCCAGGAGGAAAGAGAAGACCAGAGGCAGCCAACCCACTTAGGTGGTAACTGTAGTCAAATCTAAATGAGATTTATTCAAATCTAAATGTGATACATATCATCCAGGGTGCTATTGGGATTTATTTTCTGTTTGTACCAAGTAAGTGCAATGTGGAAGCAGTTTGCAGCCCCTAGAAATGAATTGTTGGTGGAGTCTATACCTAAGCCAGTGTGAAGCAAAAAAGTCCCAGAGACAGCAGTTCATCCAAGCACCGCTGCTCATTCTCCTCATCTGTAAAATGGGTTAGTTCTTAGCTCCTGGGAGTGGGATAAGCACATGCTGAGATAACTCATTTTAAGTGCTTACAGCAGGGACTATAGCTGAGCAGTGTATTCCCAACTTGAGGAAGGCTGACACCAAAGACCAAACTGAGTAACACCGAGACCCCATCTCAAAAAAAAAGTGCTTACAGTTTATTACACATGTCAAGTAAATAAATGCTCGTTATCTTTATTGCTATAATATCAATTTTAATCATCTTTAATGGAATGAAATTTAAAACCAGATACAAAGTTTTAATTCTTTTATTTCATCATGAATAGTCAATAAAATGTGTTGAATGTTAATGCATTAATATTAGGCAAGCCAACATTTTATTCTTGTTGCAGATTGGCCATTTACCGACTCAGGTAAGCATTTACATGTATCCTCACAAAAACGCTTCAAGGTACACACCATGGTTCTCATTTTACAATGAGCTTCCGGAGTCTTAAAAAGTTCAGTGAATGTCTTAAGGCTCGGCGAGGCCAGATTTCCAGTTCACATCTGCCTTCAAATTGGGAACTGTTCTCAGTTTTCCATTGTGTTTCCTATGGACTTATGATTCCCTTAACCTGTGCTGTAGGTTCACATGGAGTAAAATGTGATTGGATTTTTTGGTTTGTAGATCCCTTTTCTGATCCAGCCATTCGGTGGAATTAGCAAGTCACTTGTTCTTTTCACAGTTTCATTTTTTCAAGTTCTCGTTATCTTTCCCATATCTCAGAGCCTACCTTATGTCACAAATTTAGAGACAGAGAATGTCTGTGACAAAATCCAGGAAGCCAGGGTGACCCATGTTTGAGAGAGAACCAGGATTCTGATTTTGGCACAGATTTTCTATGACTCTGCTCCACCTGGTGGCAGCTCTTTTCTTAGCTATAAAATAAGGGTCCTCCTACCCCCATCCTCCTCCCCGCCATGCTCCCACTTCCTGGCAGCAGGTTGTAAGAAATATGCTCGATGATGAGATTCCTTCTACATATTAATCTACCCTGTTATTTAGCATTGTCCTTTGAGAGCCATCTTTAATTTACCATCTGAACAATATTCCCTGGCAGTAAGTATAAGCATGAACTGGGGTTCTTATAAACACAAAAAAAAGTCATATCCCTTACTGCAGCATAAACTTGACTCAGTGGTAATTTAAATTATTATTATTATTATTATTAATTTATTTTTTGGTACCGGAGATTGAATTCAAGACCTTGTACTTTTGAGGCAGGTGGGTGCACCACTGAGCTAAACCCCCTGCCCTGAAATTATTTTTTTTAAAAGTTAAACATTAGTCATATTAAGGAGTCAATGCCACACTCTCAAAGATTTTTTAGCTATATAGTTTTGACTTCAAAGAATTTCATATCTGAGGTGGGCCACCCTGTAACTTAAAGGACATTTTCTTCTCTGCTCATGGGATTTTTTTTTTTTAACTTAAATGAAGCCCTGCCAATATCCTAGATTTTATTCTGGGACCCAGCCACACATCAGAGCACAGAATGCTCCCCACACACATCTTCTATCATCTGGATTCTGTGACCACCCTGGCTTCTCAGATGACTTTGCAATCATGATTTCAGTGGATTGCATCTTAGTATCATGCCTGAGACAATGTTTTTTAAGGCATTATATTTTCATTGGTCACCTATATCAAAATCACTTCAGGAGTGTGTTTAAAATTTAATCACAGGGCACCTACTTCACACTTCAGTAACATCTCTCAACTTTAATGTACATATAAATCACCTGGGGATCTCGATAAAATGTATTTCTGATTCTTCTGGAATGAGGCCTAAAATTCTACATTTCTAATAATCTCATTGACTATGTCAAGAATCCTGTCACAAAAACCATATTTTGAGGACCAGGGGGACCAGAGGGTCCAAATTCTGGGGGAGTGAGAAGTCTCCAGGAGATCTTATGCATGAAAATCTTCACTCAAGGCTAAGAGATATTAAAAGAATATTCTTATAAAATATTTGCTACAGTTATCCAAGTAACATTGAGGATAATGTCAAGAATGTTTTTCAGTTTAATGTGTCTCTAGGAAATGGGACTATTTTCTCAAAGATTAAAAAAAGTTGTTTTAACTTTTTCTTCTGTAAGATGAAGACATAATAGTTTTGCAGTAGGGATTATGTACAAAGTCCACATCAAGCATTTAGCACCAAGGCCAGTACATAATAAGTGCTAAATAATGTTAATCGTTGTCATTATCATTATTTTGGTGCAGAAAGCTAAGACAAAATCATTGCAATCATGGAGGACTATAGCATATTGATCAGCTCCTATTTATCTTCTTATTGGCCTTTGCAGCTTTAGTTGAGAATATTTTTGGTTAAGGGTTTTTTAAAAAATAGTTTATTAGTTTACTCTATTTCTGCACTTCCTATATGCCACTTCAATTTTTTTATAGAATGATTTGTATGTCAGTTCAATTCTAATCAACAAATATTATTAGGTTGAACTGTATGACATTGCTGATATTTGGTTTGTTTTTTTTTTTTACATAAAAATGGCAATGTTATATGGTTCAGCTCAATACTATGAGCCCAAAACTCTGAATGTTGTCAACAAAATGCAACAATAAAACCCACTTTGGGATATGCAAATGCAGGCTCGGTTGAACCCTGCCCAATTCTGGGGAAATCCCATTCCCTCACAGATTGGATTAAGCTAATGTTGTTGGCCAGGTGGTCAATCAAGAAATATTAATTATTGTTTTAAAAGACACTTGGACCACAATTTAAAGGCAGCTTGTTGAAATGGACCATATAAATAACGATTTTCACTTTTTTTTTTTTTTGGCAGCAGAGTAGTAAAGACAAGCTGTCAAAATATCTTGCCAATTTCATTCTGAAACACTTTTCCTGGCAGGGAAGAGGACAGAATGGAACAATAAAGGTGGATTTAGCTGAAGCCCTGGGTGGATCAGTGCAGGAGGAAAGAAAGGACAGAAGAGAAAGGGGCAAGGAAACAAAACGTCACAGGGGTCGGGGGATGGCAAATGAGAATAATAAAATAGAGATTATTCCTAAATTTTCATCTGCATAATTTAGCTCCCCTCTCTCCCAAAAAACTCACCTTTGATTTTCAATAGAAGTACATAAAGCTAAAATCAATCAGGATTTTAAGCTCTTTAATTTTCTTTGAATAAAAGCTGCTATATATTTTTAGCCGTCTCTTCAAAATCACCTGTTTCCATTTTGCACAAATCATTATTAAAACAGAATTTGCTTTTTTTACTCTCGTATTCATAACTTCCACACACCCACACATAACAGCCTTCTCATCACAGCTACTATTTCCTACTTTTGAAATCCTACTATGACTTCCTATGCTGCTGCTGCACAAAATAAGCAGAATATGAATATTCAATGAGCCCGTCCTGACGGAACTATTAAATCTCATCACTTATTTCAAAAGTGGCATTATTACTCAGAGAAAAATAGCAGAAATTAGGCAAGAAATGTCAACTGCAATTCGACTGTCAAAATTAAAGATGGATTTGTTATATAACAAACTAAAAAAAGATTTATCGTATCAAGGAATACATGTATCTGTAACGCTTGCATCTGAGGAAATCGTGACAGATCTCTCCCTTTTCTCACCAGTGTTTGGCAGCAGACATTTTGAACTGTCTCATTTTCCTCAGAGACAAAAGTTTGGGTATTCCTCATTTTCCACAGAGGTCTCTGCTCCTGACTAGTGAGGGCACAAGGGAAATCTCAGGTTGGTAAATACAGTCCTATTTAAATATATTAGAGCCATTTTCTATTTAGAAGAATCCCAACATATCACTTTTTGTGAAGCGAAGAATTGTTTTTGGAAAACAATTATCATCCAATCTAATTTTTTGGTGTACATTTGCATTTTTATGAACTCAGTTTTTCTCAAAACAGCAACACTCAAACCAGTCAGAACCAACACCTTCTCTATAAATTTTTATTAATTCATTTTGGGAGAAGTTTTAAGTTTACAGAAAAATTAGGAAGAAAGTACAGAGTTCCTATAGGCACCCTCACTCCAGCCGCTTCTCCTGTCCTTAACATTGTGTGCAATTGTGTGGTACACTGGCTACAACTGATGAGCTGTATGGATGTCTTTTAATTGACTGAAGCCCATAGTTTATATTAGTGGTCACTCTGTGTTGTACATGCCATCAATTTTGGCCAATGTAAAATAACATACATTCACCAAGACAGTAACATACAGAATAGTTTCACTGCCTTAATTCCTCCTTTTTATAATAAATGCTTTATAACATTTCATTTACTATGCTAAAAGACAGTTTATAGAATATAAAGTGTTCCCATATGCTGGTTTGGATATTGCATGAATGTCCCCAAATGGTTTAAATATTGAAATTTCATCTCCGTTGTGAGGTGTTAAAGTGGTAGAAATTTAATCTGAAGACAGTGTCCTTAAGTAACACAGCGTCATCTCTGGCCTCAACCCCTCCTGCCTTTGTTTCCGTCACACTGAACTCTGCTCCCTACATGCATCCCGCCACTCCCTCACCCTTCACACTGCTGCTGCACGTGCCATTCCTCCGCCTCAAACATGCAGGGAGGAAAACTCCTCTGTCCTGGGAGGTGCATTCCCTGGCAGTGTGTGAATTAAAATGACAAAATGCAGTTTGTGGTCATATTTGGTGTGGCAAGAACAAGTAGTCTTTCCTACCTCTTTATGGCCATGAAACTACCTTGGAGAATGGATTTTTTTTTTTTTTCCTTTTGGCACCAGGGATTGAACTCCAGACCTTGCGCTTGCAAGGCAGCCAGCAGAACTACTGAGCTAAATCCCCAGCCTCTGGAGAAGGAATTCTGGGCAGCTTCATTTCCCAGAAGTTGCTGCTTCTAGTCAGGTAAGGGAAATTCTGAAGTTTCTTTCTCCATGTATTGAATTGCAAATGTCTTCAACATGAAATAATCCTTATACCAAATCTGGGTTCTGAATGGATACGAACACACACACCATCACTACCTGACCCCATCCTTTTGCCAGGCTTCTCAACACTTGGCAGGGTGCTGCATGCCTGTAATCTCAGTAGTTGGGAGGCTGAGGCAGGAGGATTTCCATAAGTATAAGGCCAGACTGGGCTACAAAGCAAGACTCTGTCTCAAAAAAAAAAAAAAAAAAAAAAAAAAAAAAAAAAATAAAAAAAAAAAATTAAACCAAAAAATTTTAAAACTCAGCTGTGGAACTGGGTGTGGTGCTGCATGCCCGTAATCCCACCTGTTTGGGAGAGTGAGGCAGGAGCACAAGTTTCAGCACAATCTAGGCAACTTCTTTGAGTACCTACCATACTATTTTCCATAGTGTTCATATTTTACATTTCTACCAACAGTGCACAGGGCTCCAGTTTCTTCACATTCTTACCAGCACTTACTATTTGTGTGTGTACATGTGTTTATTTATTAGAAGCCATCCCAGTAGCTATGAAATAATATAGGTAGCTTGGACTTGCATTTTCCTTCTTCTAACAATGTCTGTCATTTCATGTGTTTATGTCATTTGTATATCTTCTTAGAAAAATATATGTTTAATTCTTTTACCCACTTTTGAGTCACGTGTTCATTTCATTCTTGTTGAATTTTAGGTCATTTTTGTAATCTGAATGTGTGTGTATGTGTGTGTATAAAATGTATATATATACAATGTGTACATATATCGTATATATACAATGTGTGCGTGTGTATATATATACTTTTTTACTGCATTGAGAGTGTTTTTTGATACACACATTTTAACATTTGTATGAAGTCTTATTTGTCTTCTTTCTTTTGTTGCCTATTGCAAAGGACTTGAATAGACATATTTTCAACCATTGTGTTTTGAGTGTTCTTTCTTTGCCTTTCTCTGTCTCTTCTTCTCTTGGAGCTCCCATGATATATGTATTGGTTTTTAATAGTGTTTCACAGGCTGTTTGTTTTTCCTGAACTTTCTTTTTTGTTTGTTTCTCAGCCTCAATACTTTCCATTATATAATCTTCACATTTGCTGATTCTTCTAATTGCTCATCTGAATTGAGTCTCTTTAGTGAATTTTTGATTTCTGTTATTGTAATTTCACCTCCAGAATTTTGTTTTGGTTTTTTAGTTTGTTTTAAATCTCTTTATTGGTATTTCCATTTGTTCATACATTGTTTCTTGACTTTCTATACATCTTTCTTTTGTTTCTTTGAGCATCTTTAAGATAGTTGTTTAAAAATCTTTGTCTGGTAGATGTGCTGTCGTGTCTTTTTCACAGACAGTTTCTGGTGATTTTTTTTTCTCTCATGAATGGCCATACTTTCATGTGTCTTTGTATGCCTTGCGATTTTGTTATTGTTGTTGAAAAACTGGATACTTGAATCTAATAATGTGAGCACTCCAGAAATCATACTGTGCTCCTGTAGGTGGCCACTGTGAGATGTGTCAAAGCCCAGGCATCTAAGGATGTCAGAGGGCACCTGAGGACACAACTTTGTCATTTAGTGCAGGCACACAACAGACTCATAATAAATCAATCAGCACGGACTACCACATGCATACCACTGGCTATGGAAACGCGTGCAGCTGTTTTGTCTTCCCATGTCTCCAAAAAGCTGTTGAAGATGCACAGCTATTGAGCTCTGCAGCTGCGGCGCCAGCTCTCATGATGCTCTCGTTGCTGCTACCCTGATGCTGGGAATTAAGGTTGGTGCCTTCGTTTTGGTGATGTCTCCTCCACACTTCTCCTTCCTTTGGGAACCTTGTCTGATTGGACCTCCCTCCAGCCCTCTGGCCTTGACACCTCCTTCCCCAGGGTTTGCTATTTTTTGTTATCCTTATTGCTTCAATTCACTGTTTTAATTTTTCGCTTGTTGTAGGCTGCCTCTGTGTTGAGGATAAAGCTGCTATGTAAATGCTACATCACCTTCGAGTGCACGATCACATTTAGTCTTTCTCATATAAATAGCCTCCTTTGAATGTCCTGGTGTTTAATGCCTACCTCCCAAAAGCTGAACAAATGAAAGGGTATGGGCTGAAAGGCACAGGTCCCTTCAATCCACTGGAAGTCACCTCAGCTAAGCAGGGCAGCCTTAAGAATCGAGGAAGCACAGCAACAGTGGCTGACATCTCTTACATCTCTGTGTCTGCACCTTTGTGACCAGAAGCAGCAATCAGAAAGCAGAGCACAGGTCTCCAGTATTGGGAGAAGAGCCTCCTTTTACACGTGGCAAAAGGGTGGAATGTGGGGGACAGAGCTGGAGTTGACCACAGTAACTGCAGTAACTTCTCTCCAGGAAGCCACAGCCTTGATAATGCTCAAGTCCAGACAGTTAGATCTCACAGATGATCTTTCCAGCTTTACTGAGGGAGAACTGACTGTGCGTTGTACATGTTAGATAATACAGTTGTGTTTATACATACACACTGGAATATGGTCTATATACACATCGATATACTGTGAACTATTTTATATCATATACAGACAGGCCTGATTTTTGATGGCTTGACTTGCCATTTTTGGACTTGATGATGTTACAAAAATAAACCTACATAATAAATTTACTTTCACTTTAAGTACAGTTTTTAATTATAATGACCTATGCAAAATTTTGTTTTGAATATAAAATAGGCTTTATGTGAGATGCATTTGACCACTGCAGGCTAATGTAAGGGTTCTGAGCATATTAAAGCAGGCAAGGCTTACCTGTGATGTTCATTACGTTAGGTCACTAAATGTGTGTTTTACTTTATTTATGATGGTATTTGGAATATAAGCCTTCTATAAGTCAGAGTATCGATACTTTGATATTGTAGGGTCGGGAATTTAGCTCAGTGCTTCCACTGCCTGCCCTCCAAGCACAAGGTCCTGAGTTCAATCCCTGGTACCAAAAAACAAACAAATAAACAGAAAGCTAAAAAAAAAAATCCTTGGATGTAGTAGACATAGACATTATGAGAAGATAATATAATCAAATTGGTTTGATACATCCATCACCTCACAGTTACTTCTGGAGCGTCATGATACATTTAAGATCCTCCCTAGCACATTTCAAGTTTACACTTACTGATTATAATCTCCATCCTGCATATTGGATCCCTGGAATACCTTCATCCAGGTAAGGCTTGCGCACATTTACCAGCATCTCCCCATTTCATATATGCTCAGCCACCTGGCAATAGCCATTATATTGTTTCTATGACTTAAATTTTTTTGATTCTACATATAAGTGGTATCATAGATTTGTTTTGTTTTGTTTTGTTTTTTGAGACAGGGTTTCTCTATGTAGTTGTCTGTCCTTGAACTCACCATGTATTCCAGACTGACCTCAAACTTGAGGCAACCTTCCTGCCTCAGCCTCCCCAGTGCTGGGATTACAGGCATACACCACAACACCTGGCTCTTGTCTTTTCTACAATAGCTATCCTAAAAGGTATTCCTGATGTCTTATTGTAATTTTGATTTGCATTTCTCTGATGATTAATGATGTTCAGTATCCTTTCATATAACAGGTGTCTGTTTGTGAGGGAGACCACTATACTGATTGCGCCCCAAAGCAGGCTGTTAGCAGTGCAGGCTTAAAGAATTAACCCCATAGTTAAACAAGAGTTGGCTTGTTTATAGAAGTGAGTCTGGCTGAAGCCTCTGTGCTGAGGTCTGAGTAACTCCGAAATTCCCTTCTCACAGCTAAAACCTTCTTAACTAGATGGACAATGTTTTAATTACAACCATCTATTTTGTCTATTCTGGTCCTAATTTGAGAGTAGTTTGTCTTATCCTGTATGAGGCTTGCTTACATTAATTTCCATAGAAACCACAGGACTACACATCCTCGCACATCGTCCTGCCCTTGCACAGAGCTCACCTTTACCCCAACTGATTACTAATAAAGATCAGTGGCTTGCACTGGCCAGCACCTTTGTTGATTGTACGTTGGTCATCCTGGTACCCTGCTTTTGTATGTATTCTTTGAACAAATGTTTATTCAGTTTCGTGGTCCATTTTGTAATTGGGCTATTTGGTTTTGTTATTTTACGATTGAGTTTCTTATATATTTTGGACATTAACCTCTGATCAAATAGATGATTTGCAATTTTGTTTTTGAGACCAGGTCTTGCTACATAGCCCAAGCTGGCCTCGAATTCACAGCAGTCCTTTTGCCTCAGCCTCCCGAGTGCTGAGATTACCAGTGTGCACCACCATGTCCAACCCGCGCCCCCCATTTTTTCAAGTTAATTTTCATGAGTGGTTTAGGACAAAGTTGTCAGATTCTGCCAGTGCACATATTTTCTAGGTGAGGAGAGGGTCTCCTATCCTGTCATCTTCCTAGTGTCTTTCTCTTAATTAATTTTGATGAAGTTGGCTTGGGGATTTAGCTCAGTGGTTCCACCACCTGCCTTGCAAACACAAGGACCCGAGTTCTATCCCCAGTACCAAAAAAAAAAAAAAAAATTTTTTTTTATTTAGTTAATATGTTAAAATGAAGAATGATGAACATGAGTAAAAGCTATGATGTGCAGGATGAAAGTAAGATTAACACATCCCAGCTGGAATATCTTTAATTGGAAGATGCTGAGAGCAAGACTGACTAAGTCAGAGGCAACTGAGGAGTAGAGGAAAGAGTCCTGGGAGTGGGAGCAAAGATTTGGGCTTGGAGCTCAGCTCTTCACCTTACTTCTTTGTCCTCCTCCCATCTCTGAATTGACAGAAGGAATATAAGGATGAAAGTAAGATTAACACATCCCAGCTGGAATATCTTTAATTGGAAGATGCTGAGAGCAAGACTGACTAAGTCAGAGGCAACTGAGGAGTAGAGGAAAGAGTCCTGGGAGTGGGAGCAAAGATTTGGGCTTGGAGCTCAGCTCTTCACCTTACTTCTTTGTCCTCCTCCCAT